CCTTCTCTTTGATCTCTTTCCCCGCCTTGGTCCTTTCTGTCACCCTGCTGTCTTCTGGAAGGCTGGAGATACCTATCCAGGGATGGGGCCAGGCAGGAAACGCTTCTGAGGCCACGTGGCAGGACAGAAAGACGCCGGGTCTCCACAGCCACAAGAGCCGGGGGTCCTGCGCGTTGGAGGCAAATGCCACCGGACGCTCCCACATGAACAGGCCATATGAGCGCCCTTGGGAAGGGGGCTGAAGTCAGCAAGAAAGAGATTCCAGCCCTTCCTCAGACACTCATGAGCTGTGTGGCCTGGGCAGCTTGCGAAACCTCTCTGATAGCTCCTGCCAGTGGGGTCATTGTGAGGATTAAATGAGATAGTGTATGAAAAGAGCTTTGTAAGTCTTCGAGACACAATGTGAGTCACTATGATGATCTCATCCTGTGTCTCTCTCAGTATACGGAAAACCACAGGGGAGAAGCCGAGAGCAGTTCTGCTGAATGAACATCCCATCCTGCATCGGTGGTGGGGAGGTGCAGGCTCTGCACCTCTGGCTGCTTTATGGGGTCGCAGCCCCTACCTCCCTGGGTTGTGAGGATGAAAGGAGATATGTGTAAGGCACTAGCATGGTGCCCGTGGGTGGAAAGCATATATTATTCTGGTTCCCTGACCACCCCTGGCCTGTCCAGTGAGTATAGTCAGTTTATAAGCAGCTGGTATAAAGGGGCAACAGCAGGAAATGAGATTGCACAGGGGAACCTGGAGGCCACCTCCAAACTGTCCCAAAGAGCAGAGGAGCAGAATCTACAAACTGTCTGCTGTTAGCCAGAATTCACATCCTGGGGATATGTGCTGAATCAGCAGAGGCCACCTAGGCTTTGCTGTCCGGGCTCCTGGTCTTAATGGTACATCAATCCCAGACAAATTCCAGACCTCCCTAGTTCCAGACCATCAACACCATGAGTAACTTTGAGATGGTGTGGACATGTTAACTTTAAAGTTTTAATAAGAGTTTTGAGATGATTTGGATATGCTAATGAACTAACCTCCAGAAGGCAGAGAAGTTAGTCTGTCCCCCCCAAAAAAACCCTATAAAATAAGGCCTCAACCTCCTAACCCCCATGACTCCTCCACCTCCTAAGGATCCGTGCTGCTCCAGGCTTCCAACTCCTGAGGTGATGTGCCTTATGCCCTTGCCATCCTCTTCCTCACACTGCCTGCCTCCCTCCACCCTCCTAGCTGCCTCTGCCTTCATGTAAATTTTGCCTTCATACCCTCTGTGCTTAATTAAAGTGTGATTTCCTACGCCAGTCATGGTCTGTCCCAGAGAGTAGCCAAAGAACCAGGTGTGCCTGCCATCATTTCATCAATTATCAAGTCAGCCTGGCACATAGAAGGCAATTAATAAATGCTTATTGATTGGTTACTGTCTAGTTGGGAGACAAGAGACCCATGTACAAAATGGTGGGCACAGACCTTTCAGTTGGCACAGTGTAGGAGAAAGAACTCAGGAGTAGGCCTTTTCCTTCTCTGTTTCTTCATCTGTCAAATGAGGAGGTTGGACCAGATGACTGCCAATGCCCTTTGCAGCTCTGGAGTTGAGATTCCCTGATGCTTCGATTAGGTGTTGGTTATTAATGCCTATCTCTAGAGCCTTCCTCGAGGGCGAAGGCCATCTTCTCTTCATAGCCTTCCTGTGACCACCTCCGGGCACCACAAGGCCTAACACGGTGAATGGTAACTCTTCTCTGTCACCATCACCAACTGGCTAAACGCAGGATATATTGGTCTGTTTTAGCAGGGAATCTTGGGCTAAGAATTATGTCACATAACTGGAAGGCCCAAGTAAGTCCTGAAGGCAATGGCCAAGGGGTATCAGGCTAGGAATGAAGAGGTAAGAAATGAATGTGAGAATTTCTCAAGAACACATTAAAATTGTTTCTGCCTCCAGGGGTGGAAGTTCTGGTACCAGGCATGGAAGGGGATTGGGCTACTTCTGGAGTAGACATGTCTTTCTCTCTCTTGGGCCTTGGTGACCACAGCAGCCATGGTGGCATGCTGGGTTAGGTTGTTTTGGGGTAGACATCGCTCTCCAGCCCTTCCCTGCACTCCCTCCTTACTGAAAAGGCCTTGGGCAGGTGTGGTTCTCTTGAGCTCACTACTGGTGTTGCCCAAGGTATGCTGGGAAACCCCAGTAGCCTTGCACTGATAGTGAAGTGGCAAGCATGAGAATTATGTGAAATGAGAGAAATAAACACTAATCAGCTCTTTCCAAAGAAACTTCTGCCTTCCCATCTGGCATATTTTAAGCTTTTCTAGCCTCTAAGGCACAAATGCTCCGTAACACAGATCGCTTTTCCTCACCTTCACAAAGAAAGCAGTATCTCCTGTTTCTTCTGCCTCCTCCATGGCATCTAATACAGTATGTGGGATGTTCATAGCAAAGGGCTCAGCCAATGTCATTCGTCAGTTAATCTTCCAGAATGAGCTCTTCCTTTACTGGGAAACGCCCACACTTAATGATATATTTTGTTTCTTCACAGATGCCCCAACCAGTTTGAAAGGCTTTTTGTTCAAATGGGATCTTGGTTAGGTGACCCCAATAAGACTGCCACAAAAAGAAGAAATGTTACTCCGACAATATGTATTTTCAAAATCTGCTTTTATTTACATTTCAAGTCAATCACATGCAAACTTTATTTTTTAAAACAAGAATGTGATTAGCAAAAGATGCATTAGAATTTTAAAATAGCAATTAAATATACAAAAATATAGCTTACAAAAACAGCGAATGTTTTAAAAAATATTCTGCTGCAGAATTTTTAGTGTACAAATATGTCTATGAAACCAGAGGCTCAGAGTTTCATAAACTTCTTCAGGAGTTACACAATATCTACTTGAATAACCCATGGGCATCACTGCACAAAGATTACCTCTGGGAACTGTCACAAGACGCAAACCCAGTGACTAGAAACACTCCCCTTCACAGGAATGGAAGGAACTGTTGATTCTTTCATTGGAGACAGTCACTCTCTATTCATTCTTTAATACTAGATGTTTTGCCTTGCAACCATTCTGTTAAAGGAGAATGGTATTCCGGCCATCCCGAGGGTTAAGAAACAGTCAATAGGGATCTTAGGAAAGCTCGCCTGAGGAGCAGTATCTTGGCATACTCTGCTCAGGCTGACTTGGGGGCCTAAGCCCTGTCCCCAGCTAACAAGATGGCACTGATTCTGGGGTCCAGGTGCTGGTATCAGGATCTGGGCAGCCCGAGTGCAGTTAGAAATGAGTTCTATTGACATTTGTAGGGATTAGGTTCTAGAAGAAATCTGTTCCAGCATCAAGAGCTCATACCTCACAGTGAGGGTAAGGGTACACAGTTCAGATTTTGGGATCCTTGGCCACTCACACAAAATGTGGTCTGGCAAATGAAGACAGTAGACACTTAACTAATGATGATTAGAACTACTTTTCTCTACAAACACAGATCCTAAATCTGAACTTCAAAATACTTAATTTTCAAGATATTTTTACATACTATAAAATGGGAGTAAGTATCTGAGTTCTGCTTTCCTGCCCCACTCTGCAATGTATCCTAGTCTTTGAGATTCTTATCTTCATTTATTAAAAACACAGCGATTTACTTACCCAGAGAGCCACATGGCAATCAGTGGCAATGCTCATTGCAATGAAGTGCAAAACATTCCTCCCTTTCCTCAACAACCCCTTGCAGTTTGGATAAAGAAATGTTTAAAGTCAGGCTGTGATTTGAGAGAGAGAGATGGATAGAGAGGAGAAAGTCTGATAAGATTTGAAAAGTGCTTCTCGTTAGGATTGCTTTCTCTTTCATGTTTCAGTTTCAAGGCTCAGGAATCAAGTGTTTTTGGCCCAGGGTTAGGACAGGCCGAGGGGAACCAAATGCCTTGTGGCCCGGCCCAGGAGTGAGAAGAGACAAGGGGGAAAATGGTGCATAGATCTGGATCGTGGTCTCTTGTGCAATTTGTGGGTGACCAGAGAGGCAGCCTGACCTAGTTGGACATGCACTAGACTTGGTGTCAAAAGAGATCTGGGTTCAAATCCTAACTCCATAATTACTAGCTATGTGATCCAGAGCAAGTGACGACTTCTCTGGCTTTCAGTCTTACTTAGCTGTAAAATAGGGATAAGCATACCTGCGATCCCTACCTCACAGTTATTGTGAAGAACGGGCTTTTCAAACCTTCAACCTACCTTATTAGGGTGGGAGAGTTGAGATGTGGCCCCGAGTTCACTGGATAGGCCTCATTTACTGACCCTACCAGAGACTGTCCCATGGGAGGATGATATACTAACCCTCATTACTGTATACACACATTTAGGCCCCTTGGGTTACAGAGGAGCACATTGAAGTCCAGGTACAAGAAAGGACTTGCCCAAGGTCACGCCAGTAGCAAGTCAGGATTTGAACCTGGCTCTTTTGGTTCCAAATTCAGTGCTCTTTCTGTTTGCACATAATTCTTCCCCCAACCAATGAATAACTATAAAAGTGAAAATGGATAACTATGACAATGTTCCCATGACCTCAAAAAACACATAACCACATCGGAATCAAGATAATTTGACCTAATACATCAGTGATCCCCCAAATTCACAACAGAAGGCCCCCTTTCCCGACCGGGGTAAGCCATGTTTGGCTTAGTAAGACTCTGCTCCCAGCAGCTTGTTTCAAGATAGGATAAAAGAATGTGTAGGGAAGGAATTATGTTTAAAAAAAATCATTCTTGTTTTCTCCTCAAAACAACACAGGGAAAAAGGAAAAGAAATGAATTAATATGGTACACATACTAATATACATGGCATGCATATGTATAGCCAATTCCAAGTCTAGTTACAAGCCAGTTTAGCTGCCACTAGGACCCTGGGCCTTTCCAACTCACCAGCTGGAAAACAAATGCAAGTCAACCCTCATGGGGACGGGGGAGGGTGGGGAGGAAGGGGGAGGGGTGGGGGAGGACGGGGGGGGGGGGGGGGGGGGGGGGAAGAGATCTTCCAGGCAGCCTCACAGGCTGCTTGTGGCCCCTTTGCTTTTCATCCATCTCCCATCACATCTGGACTCTTCATCTTCATTAGGGAATTGCTGAGGATAAGGGCAACGTTTCCATGAACTCTAACAATCAATGGAAAAGACCTGGCTAAACAAGGGGAGTGGAAAACGTTGATTGTACCTGCCACTCCCACGCAGTTGACTCAAGCTACCAGGAATGCTCTGACAAGGTCTCCATCGGATCACCATTCAGTTGGCACTTAAAAGGTCAAATCAAGGGCATTTATGGCAAGGGTGAGGGAGGAAATGGAAAGTTTCTAATTTGTATAGAAACAGAGAATTCCATTATGTCGCAGCCAAGCCAATGATATGCCTTACTGGAAAGGAACGTGTTTCAAAAAATGTTAACTCCACTTGTTCCGTGATTCTGGAATCAGCATTTCCAGATGAACTAACTACGACCAACGGAAGGGCTGAGGCCTCCCCGGCCAGTCAGCCAACCCCAGGGATGAGCTCTGGGGACCTATCACTGCGTTGGGTTAACGTGTGAAGACGCAGCAGGCAAGCTCTCTGAGGCGGGACACCCCTCTCCCCCACCCCGGCTGTTGGCAATGGTGCATCCGAGGTAGTCATGAACACTACAGGACAAGAAAGCAGTGAATGGGCAAGTCAGCTGAAGCAGGGAGAGGCTTCAGCCCAGGAAGATCAGAGGAGAGCCTGAGGTCTTTGTTCCTAAGGGGAAGATACAGGGGCCACTGGTTCCTGGGCAGCACGTTGAGCGCTCCTGGATTGGTGACCAGTCAAAGTCTGAAGGGGATCCAGTGCCCTAGGGAAGTCTCACTACTCTAATGAGGTCCATGTTGTAACTGAAGGGGTGCTGGCCTGAAAAGCATTTCCCTGTCGGTCATCGACCTGGTCTAATTATGTTGTTACTGTATCATGATGCACTAATAGGCATCATGATAAGTAATAACATTACCACTGCCAAGTGATACAGGCTACTTCTAGGTATGAGGGATTCAGCAAATAGGGAAAAAATACAAGCCCAGCTTGCTTCATGTTCAAGATCTGATCTACAAGTGTTGTCTCCATTGTTAGAGGGCGGGGATCATCTATCTCACTTCTGCATTTGTATCCCAGCACCTAGTACAACGGGCACAGAGTAGGAGGTGCTGGATACTTTTGCATTTGTTCACTTATTCATTATCCCTAAATACCTCCTAGCAGGTATCCTGTCTACCTTCAACACATCTGAGGAAGTAAAAAATGCTCCAGACTCTGCTGTGGAACAGACCAACTGAATTCCTCCCTAACAGGAGGCAAAGCAGCTAAGAAAGCGAGGAAGGCCTGTGCTGCCTTCCGGCCTGGAATTCTGTGTCCTATCCCTGAATCCCAAAGAACATGGCAGATTCCAGTTCAGCATCTGGAGAAGGTGAATGAATGGCCAGCAAAGTGCTTCTCTAATGACCCAAGAGCCTGCTGGCATAGTCCAACTTTTTAGCCTCCTTTCTTCACATTTCAGTTAAGAGCACAAAAATCATTGATCAGTAAGTAGGCAAAGGTCCCCAAACATCTAAACAAACAGCTAAGATCCCCTGGCTCTTCACCAAGGGACAGCAAGAGATCAGGTGGTATCAGTGACTTTACCAGGGCTTTCAGCTTGATGAAATGATCAAAGGGGTTTTTTCCTCATTCCTTCTTTCTCTATCTTGGATTTAATACTGGTGTCAAAGAACTGAACAGTTCCGTATTGTTTTGGCCAGAATCCAAAGAGTACACAAACACAGCCCATTTGGTATTTACATCAGTGCAGAACCAGTTTGGGAAAGAGCAGAGAATTCAACTGGTGAAAGTCTCTAAGCAAGGACCCATTGGCTTGGCTGAGAGGACCTCTCCAGTCCCTCCCAGCACCAAGACTCTGGAATCTCTACCTCTGTTATCTCCTGGGTCAGGGTCGCTAGAGTCATAAGGCTTAAGAGTCTGAAAGACGTGTTTGGCTTTTGGCACGGTGTCCTTATACTACATTAGAGGAGTTGATGACGAAGCGGAACCGAGAGTATAGATTTCTGTAATCCCCCGATGCAATTCTACCAATCAACTTCTTTCTTAACCTCGGTCCATACCGCATATTAACAAGTGTCAAGATGGATTCGTGGGGACAGCTTCGGCTTTCTGCTTGGACATTAACCACACTTCCATACTGTAGACATGAGATGGACATCTGTAATGACTGTACCAAGTTCAGATACTTTCTGATCTGCAAATACTAAGACATTTCGGTCCTGCTGCTTTGGTCTTCAGTGGACTGGAGTTCAGTTGGGATTACAGGGTAAACATCTGAACAAGCTTGCGGTTGAAAACCGTATTTAAGATATTGGACTAAAATGTTTTGCCCTTAAAAAATAAAGTCACTTGGTGAGGTCCCCCACCCAATGAAGCAGGGCAGTCAGCATTCCCCAAAGGATGCAATTCCACAGACAGTCGGGATAGAAGAAAACCACTTTGGAGGGGAAGGAGAACACAAGCTAAAAGCTTCACCAGTCTCCAGATTTCTGACTTCTGTTTTGATTGTAGCCCAATATGGAAGAAATGGCGCTTATTCCAAAGCTGTTCCGTGTTCCTGGAAAATTCTAGGATCTGGTTGTAAACAATAACTAAGCTGTAAAGATCCAGAGACGAGCCAAATCTTCTCTCTTGACATTGGTCACTAAAAATGTTTTACTGTAAGCCTGTTTCATCAAAGCTAGGCAAATCTATTGGTTTCCCAACATTTAACAACTGCCACAAATACAGAAAAAGGAAAGACATTTTAAGACGAGGGGAGGTGGGAGTGCTTGGAACTGGTAGCCTTTCTATCAGTGGCTGAGGAAACAAGCATGGAGCTGAACAGGTTAAAACTCTAATATAAAAATAGCCTTCACGTCCACTACCTTGTTAAGGAAACAGGACAGCCTGCAGATAACACACAGGTCATACATAGGAAACAGTCCATCATGGCTCCCCAGAGCAGCAGTTTCCAAAGTGAGCTCAACTTTCAATGTTTTTTCAAACTAATAATAATTTTCCTTCTCTAACCTCTTAACCCTTGAATCAACTGAATGCTCCTTTTTTAAAAAACTTCTAACGGATGGTGGGGATTAGGGTGCAAAGTATGAAGCACTTGAAGATGAAATCTCTTACTTTTAGTTCAATCTTGCACCTGCCATGTTCCAAAGAAAAAAGTCCCCACTACCCACAGGTGTGGGACATCTTAAAGGCATAGCAGCCTATGTGGACATAATGAGGGCTATAAAGAAATTATGCCAAGCAGGTAGGATGGACTCTGGAAAATAGCTAACCAGACCGTCTGCTTCTTTATAAGAGTTAATTTACAAAATATTCTGGTATCCCCAAAGATCAGATACTTTTGAGCCACTTCCATAAAAATCTGTGAGTGCCAAGGAGAAAAAAAGCCATCTAAATTCTTCTATAAATATGCTTTAAACTAATGAAGTGTTCCAGATCCAAGTACAAAGCTAAACACACAACCAATGGGTCCTTAACCCTGTGCTGCTGAAGACAATATTTACAAGTTCAAATATTTTTGAAAATACTGAGTGCTCCCTCCGTGGGATGTTTTAAGTACAGTGCCTTGGAACTAACCTGAAACTCAACAACAGACGTTTTGTTCTAATAAGAACAAGAGATGGAGAGAGGAGAGCAAGAAGCGAAAGGGAGACCTGGGGTTGAACTGACAGGTTTTTGGAGAATAGAAAAAAGGGAAAGGTTGGGGGAGCAACATTTCTCACTTTGTCAAGTTCGGCCTGGCCTTGGGTATTCGGTTCTTTTAAGGGTGCTGGTTTTCAGGGGAGTTTGTGTCCAGTCTGCCTACAGAGTCATTGGTCCATCCACTGGTGGCCCAGTCCGTGAACGCTGTGTGATTGTGGACTCCCTTTGGGTCATCAGGGGCGGTGATGACCCAGCCCAGATGCTCCCTCATCCACTTGGGTCTTCTGGCTATCACCATCACTCCTGAAGAAGCTTGGTTACTCAGTTCTGGCTGGCTGAAGTCCTGGTAAGAACACGATGGTTTCTGCCCAGACCAGTTCTTTATCTGTCTCATGTTATTTGACGCCTGGAGGTTGAACAGAAGCACAAATCCAGGGTGAAGTGCTGCAGGGCAAAGCCCCAAACTCCTCTGGCCCTTGCTTCCTCTTCCAGATGCCACGCTTCCCGGTGAAAACGTGCCCTGCCCAGTGGGTGTGAGGCCCCCCGCTGCTTAGGACCACAGGATTCCAAGAAAGCCTCCCTCAAGGAACAGAATGTCAGTGAGCCTTGAGCTGGCACTGCTGGCCTCACCAACCACTGCTTCATCATGAGGTAACTGCTGGCTGACCACAGGAGGCATTCCGTTGCTGCAAAGTTTCATGCATGGTCTGCACATGTCTTCACCTGGTAGTGGAGGGGTGGGGGGGCTAGCCTCCAAGGCTCAGTCCACACTCCTTTCTATCACACTTACCCATCACCCGTTCTTGCTTAGCAAAGGCAAACTCTACTTGGACACAAATGCTTGGGCTGCACATACGGTGACAGAGCTCACAGGAGATCGTCCTGCGGTCAGTGCTTCCTGACCCCCACGTCTGCAGGCTGAGGCACTGCTGGGCCAGGGCACTGGATGGTCGCAGAGGGTTCTGGTTGTGACAAGATCCAAACATCTGGGCTCCAGGCTCGTCGGGAGACATGGGGATCACTGATGCATCACTGCAGGAAACGGCCAATTCACAGACTTGAAATTCTCTGCCTGGGGTTCATTTCGATATCGTGTGTGCAAGAGTCTGTTTCGTGGGAAGAGCTATACTATGTTCTCTGCTCCAGGGAGGGGCCCCTGTGGGGGACCATGGTCCTGTTTACTGTGCAGCTGGGCCAACTGTAGAACAGGCATGTTGCAGAGGGGACACACTTTTCGAACTTCCAGCCACTTAATGAGGCACCTGGAAAGTGAAAGACAAAGGAGGAAGGGAGGCATCAGTCACCTGTGCTGTAGCAATCCCTTCATTATGCCAAGGAGCTCACTGCCCAGTTCTGGTTTTTCTTTCTTTCTTTCTTTCTTTCTTTCTTTCTTTCTTTCTTTCT